CAATCGGGGCTGTCTGGAGTGAGTTATAGCTAGTGCGGCCGAAGATTAGGAGAAAAATTACACCATTGATCCTTCAACTTATACAACTTGGTATACGCAATTTGTAGGTTTCATGTAAATTGATTACAGTTCTGTTAATGTCATACGGGTATGTGTACAGCGAAACACATTGATCTGTGTGGAAGTAGGAGATGAGGAACTCACTTTTCATATCGTCTTGTGAAAATGTAGTAACTCCTGATGTCTGTTTTTTTCTGTTGCCATATTGCACTTGCTGAGGTTCCTTATGTCCACTAACCCATGTTAATCTCATCTGCATCATAACGAATCATGATTCATAGAACATTACCCCATAATTTAAGTAGAAACCCATGTTAATCTCATCTGCATCATAACGAATCATGATTCATAGAACATTACCCCATAATTTAAGTAGAAATTAGGCTTTCATGTACATAACTTAAGTGGTGAATTGCCCTCATAGTTATGATGAAATTGGGGTTCCATCATAAAACCAATTAGCAATATGAGGAGTAGTTCAAGATCATATAAGCACATAGCAAACCTTGTCCCTCACCAATGTGGGACATCTCTTAACACGCCCTCGCACGTGTGGCGGATCCGCCACACGTGGACAACAACCGGGTGACGTGGAGCACGTGTGGCCGTTGGGCTTCACACATGGATAACCTTGCTCTGATATCATGATGAAATTAGGGTTTCACCATAAAACTAATTGGTAATATGAGAAGTAGCTCAAGATCATATAAGCACATAGCAAACCTTGTCCCTTACCAATGTGGAACAACTCTCAACAGGTTAGGGCATTTTTCTTTAACCTACTGCATCTTGGGTTTACAATATCCCTTGTACTAAAAAAAAAAAGGGTGTGATATCCACACACCATTTTTTACTTCTCTCACACCCTTTTAATTTTTGACCGTCGGATTAGATGAATTGAAGAAGATCAAATGACAGAAATTAACAAAGGGTGTGGGAGAAGTAAAAAGGGGTGTGTGTATAACACATCCTAAAAAAAATAGTGAAATTTACCCACACCCTAAAAAAAATAGTGAAATTAATTGACAGCGGGCAGCGGGTTAATTACCGATGTTCCAGTTGAATCGATGCTTGAGAGATGTCCATATAATGGCTTATTCGGATTGGTAAATTTCAGAGGGTTTGACTTCTTGAGAATACAAGGTTCCTCAAATCCACCGGAAAACAACACAAATTCAATGTCGGTTCTGATGTTGATAACATGAAATGATAATGCACCACCACAAGTGGACACCATGCATCGACCATTCTGATACTTTTGGCATTCCTTCTTCTTGCAGCTGAGATAGTCATGATCATTGCTCATGTATGCTGCCTACAAAATTTTCAATTAAAGATCAATATGTTTGTTAATTCTGTTTTTTAGAACATATTGATAATGAGCCGTTGACGAATTTCGATTCGAATGAAATTTTTTTAGGGATGATCTTCAAATAAAGATTAAAAAATTGAACGCTTTCAATGAATTTTCTACGGTGAAGATACGTTATTTGCAAGTGATGGAATGAGTAACAGTCCATCATTAACAGCATTGATATTGACTTCACTTAATTACCCGTGCAATCAGTAGGTGCTAAAATTTTATACAAAATGCCTCGATGCAACTAAAAGTTGAACCATTTAACATATGACATAAATGATAAATATACGGCCTCACGTAAGTTTTAGGATAATGGTAGGGAGATTAAATTTGGACACAAAATTTGCAAACTAAATGATGTGTCACTAATAAGAATAAGCACGTTTATCAACGATTAACTAATAAACCAATCATCAACTTCCATGTCTTTTAGTTTTCAAAATTTTGTCTACAAATTTAGTCTTCATAATATTACCAAGTTTTAACACATCTCAACATTTTGGTCAATGAGTATATAAGTCGAAATTAATTTGAATATTAAAAGCATGAAAATTAGAAAAAGAGTAGGACAAAATAAAAGGGGCCAGAAAATGCCTCGACAGAACCCTACCTAGGCCGATGGAACCATGCGGCATCAGCTAAGTTGTCCCAACGTCAAAGCAAAAGCCACTTCGTTGCTTTCTACGTAAACGTTATGGGTTTCTCCACGCCACTTTGTTAGTAACGTAACGTGGCACCTGAAAGACAGTAATTATTCGGCACCGCCCATGTGGCCCTTGGTTTTGACTTTTTTTATTTTTTTATTTTTTACAAGGATATATTTTACATTAAAAATAGTTAGAAGTTCTGTTAAGCCACACAATTGGCAACCTAATTGTCTCATGCTACTTTCCCTTTCACTGCCCCATGTGGCCCTTGATTTTGACTTTTTTTTAGTACAACGATATATTTTACACTAAGGGGAGTTGGGAGTTTAACTAAGTCACACAATGAGCAACCTAATTTGGTATCGAATTCACCGTCCACAAGATTCATACCTAAGACCTCTTAGTATTACGGTCTGATGGTATCCTTCTTCACTTAGAAGTCAAATGTCTTAGGTTCGAATCTCATGGATAACAAATTCGATATTTAATTAGGTTGTCCATTGTGTGGCTAAGCCAAACTCCCATTCCTCTTAGTGTAAAAATATATCAATGTACTCCAAAAAAAAAAAAAAAAAAAAACAACCTCTCACTTACAAGTGAAGAGAATACCACCAGACCGTAATATTTGACTTTTATTTGTTTGTTTGGCTCTTCTTCATTCGAGTTTATTGATTTCGGTAGCTACCTAAAAACTTTGGCTTTTGTTCATTCGAATTTAATATTTTTGCTTACTACCTAGAAACAGAAAATTCAACATTAAATGGACACCAAAAAAGAAACACTGTTTGTCAAATGAAAACTTGCGCTTGATCCGATTCTTTCGCGACCTAACTGATTAGGGCAAGTGATGGATTTCAGTACCATCCGGAAGGAAGGAAGGAGGTAGGGAAGACTTTAGAATACTATCAACCACCTGTCTTGATTCTTCCAATAGCTGGACTTTGATAAAGAAATTAAGGAACTGATTGACAACGGAGGAAGTGAAGTCAGAAGCGGATCGATCTAGTGAATAGAGTTTTTCTCTTTAATTCAATGTCTATTGGGTTTAACCCGCAGCTCTCACTGGTCTAGCTTAAAATAGCAGTATTGCTTGTTATAAAAAGTAAAATAAAAATCTGATTAGGCCAAGTTAGGACCTGTATTGTTGTAAAATAGGCACTAGCATATTATGGTGTAGTAGTGTTCTTTTTTACCAAGGGAATGTCTTATGTTAAAACTCTCATAAATGACGAGTTCGATACAAAACTATGATTTATCCATTCTATGGCATAGCCCAATCAACTATTTTCCAGCATCTTTGTATAATTTTTTAAAAAAATAGTCAGAAACGAAGCTCTTTCCTCTCATACAGAGATCACATTCTCACTTTCAAATCTCTAAAGTAGTAGTTGAACACGAAAAAGCTGGATGAAAAGTTAATGAGCTCCACAGGATTCCAAACTATTGCCATATAAAGAGGAGAGTGATTGGTGGCTCTAATCAGCCGGGTATTCTTTGTTTTTGGTTGCTATTGCTTACAAGATATCGATCAGATACCAATCCACTACAAAGAAATTTTTTTCACTACTCATTAACCTAGCTTCTATCTTTTTATTTTTCTTTTTGTTTTTATTTTTGGTGTAACAAAATACATAAGAGAAAAAGGTTGATAATTTGTTTACCTTGACAGGATAATGGCAGAGAAGAGGAAGTTTTTCAAAATCTCCGGTTTGTGCATAGAGAATTCCATTGGCAAGGCAGCTTGATATACTGCATATTTCCAACATGCATGTATAAATAAACAACGTATAACATCTGAACTATCTTAAAACTAACACCATGAATTAATTAGTAAACGATTATTTAACGTGTATAATTAATAAAACATAATCCACATTTGTTATAGAACTCTTACTCAGAATGAGAAGGTGATATCATGGCGACCCAATCATCTTTGGAAGGACGCAGGACGCCACTAATATTGACACTCACATATTCTTCATCTCCAAGGCCAGAAGCACTTGAATTAGTACTAATTTGCAGATAAGGGCTCGGATTCGGACAGTCGTCTAGAAATCTTCTGTTAAGAACCCTAAACTCAGATATTGCTGTGTGGTTGAGGTGTTCGACTTTGGAGTTGAAAACCAAAGGGTGCAAGGATGATGAAAAAGAAGAAGAAGCAAAAGAACCCAGAAACAATATGAACAAAACGAATGAATAATTGGAAACCCTATAGGACCCCATTGGAAAATCAAAGTGGAGCTTTATGGTTATCCTAAGACAAGGGAACGAGGTTTATATATACACACATGGTTCTTGCCTTCTTGGTCGTTGGCCTTGTATTTTTTTTCCACTACTTTATCTTTGGTTTCCCACTTGAGTACGTATGAGTTTAATTTGCAAATTTGGATTTATTTTTAAGAAATTGGGGTTTGAAAAGAACGTGGCTTGTTCTATCCATCGTATAACAGAGACAGGTTTTGAGGTTTAATTTAAAATGGTGTTCCTTCACGCAACGCTGGTTTGGTTATGTTGATACCACGCAGATGCAGCTGGTTGGTAATAACTAAGTTTAGGCTTTAATATTGTTTTGTCTTTTTTCTCTTTCTTGGGTAGATAATACATGAGTTAGATGCACATATTCTCTTTGTAAATCTTTAACGCACAAATTTTACAATCAGGATTATTTTATTTTTTTTATTCTTCATTTGGAGATTATTCCTACATAAAGTCATTCAAATTGGAGATCGTTTAATTATTCAAAATCAGAACAAATCGACAATGTAGATACTATTTGATACATTTTGTTTACACTCAAAATTGGTGAGTGTTTGCCTTTGATAGACTTGGGCTTTGCAAACAATAAGGAAAAAATAAAGGATTTAAGTGGTTAACTCCTCAAAATTCGAATACATCCTTTGAGAGTCTTAGATAAGTAGAGAACAAGATTACAAGTAGCACTCGACTGGTATAGTACAATCTCTCTCAATTCGTCCGACCCTATCTAAGGAGTACTCATTCTCCTTATATAGGCCCTTCTCTCAGTTTTCAGTCTCTTGGCTCAAGTCTATCACTTCATTTGCATTTAATGCACTGAATGCACATATTAAACATGTTAGTCGTCCCTCTGTTATTTTATCGCCACGTGGCAACAAGGTGATACTTACGCAAGTCCACTCGTGTCCTTTCATGAATGGGATGATGCGGGCGAGTGTCTTGCTGGGCCTAGAGTTGGTGGGGACTCGTATCCGAGCGCCCTACTTGTTAGCCTTTATGCCCTTTCGTATCCATTGAGTTTTAGATCGATCAACTGAAGCCATGTCCTTTCTCATCCATTGATACTGTAATATATAGTAAAAAGGTCGTACCCAGTGCACAAGGCTCCCGCTTTACGCAGGGTCTGGGAGAGGTGAATGTCGGCTAGCCTTACCCCCATTTATGGAGAGGCTGCTCCCAAGTCTCGAACCCGAGACCTACCATAAAAGCATCGAATAAACTGAGAGTATAGTTGCTTGAATTAATGATATGATTAAGCAAATGCAGAAGTGCTGATTCATCTTTACCTGCTCAGAATTTGTGGACCAGTCATGCTCTGTTGAAATCACCGTAATATGAACACTTGCTTGTTCTATGGAATACCATGGCTTATCCTTTGCTGACGTTGGCATAGGAAAGTAAGTCTCATAAGGGACTCCAGATTCTCCACCTGAATCTGGTAAAATATAAACTGATCCAGTGTCTATATAGTCCCTGCAAATTGTACGTGTAATGTATATACGTTATGAATCCCACATAGTAAAGCAAAACATAGGGAAACAGTTTGGTCATTGACATTTAAAAATTGGCGAAATCAACCCTGAAGTTACAAACTGTAACAACATTGGTCCCAAAGTCGTCCTGATTATCAAGTTATTGGCTATACTTTCTCCTCACAAAAACCCTAGAGTAATGCTATGTGAGCATTTTTCATATCTCCTTACATTCAAAAGGTTAAGATATATTTATTTAATAAAGAAAATCCTAGTTTTTGTCAAGTGCAAGATGTTATGTTTGTAGCCAGGCAATCTTTCTCAAATCTAAAGTGATTCGTTTGTTTGAATGTGTGCTCTGGATTGAGAGTTTGAAAATAATAAAAGAGCATACCTCTCATGGTTTCCTATCGCTGTCATGTAAGAAACTCGAGAAGCAACCAGACTGGTTTGTTGAAGGAAAAGATCCCATTCAACTAAAAATTGTTAGTTTATAAGTGTATATGCTGAAATGTAATAAGAATTCAGCTTTAAATATCAGTCCTTGGATCATAGTCTAAGTGTGCAGCTAAGATGTAATCTTAGATTAAGTAATATCAGCTCTTGCTACATGTGCTTAGTGTGTGTGCGTATGAATCAATATAGAGCAGAGTCTTTTCTTCTTCTTCAAGCTTGTCTCTCTCTCTCTCTCTCTCTCTCTAGAAATCTCACTTTCTTTTCTTCAGTATTCATAGATTGTTGATTGAAACTTACATATAAGATCATAGTCTGTATGCTAACATGGCCTCAGAGCCTAGTTTGATCAACTGATACTGGGCGTTTGGATCTGTGAAGAGTGTTACCCAGAAATCGAGTCGATTGTGATCTGAGTCTAATATGGCAGGATCGGGTAGTAGTGAGGTGAGAACACCGATTTTCAAAGGTGATAATTATGAGTTCTGGAGTATTAAGATGAAAACAATTTTCAAATCTCACGGATTGTGGGATCTGGTTGAGAAAGGTTTCGAGAGTTCAGATTCGAAGGATGATGGTGAATCTGATGGAAAGAAGAAAGAAAAAGAGGAATCGAGCCGTATTGAGAAGCTACCTCTAGCCGAGAGACTGATGAAAGATGCTAAAACTCTGGGTCTGATTCAAGGAGCTGTTTCAGATGAAATATTTCCCAGAATCTCTTATGAAGAAACCTCAAAAGGCGCATGGGATACTCTGCAACAAGAGTACCATGGTGATAAACAGGTTAGAAATGTTAAATTGCAAGGTCTTCGTAGGGAGTTTGAATATACAAGAATGCGAGATGATGAATCACTTTCTGTTTATCTTACAAAATTATTTGATCTGATAAATCAAATGCGGAGTTATGGAGAGGAGTTATCTCGAGAGAGGATTGTTCAAAAGTTATTGATTAGTTTGCCATCAGCTTATGATTCTATATGCTCTGTTATTGAACATTCGAAGGATTTGGATGTGATTGAGGTACAAGAAGTAGTGGCTTCCTTGAAGAGTTTTGAGCTACGTCTAGATAGACATTCTGAGCACAAAACTGAGAAAGCATTTGCTAGTCTCAATGTGAATCCCAAACCAGCTAAATCCACTGGAAATCAAAGTGCAAGGTACCATAAGAATTGGAAAGAAAAAAGGAAGAGGTGGGATAACAAACCCACTGATGGGGCTAGAAATCCTTGTAAACATTGTGATAAGTTACATTTTGGTGAGTGCCGATTCAAGGGTAAACCAAAGTGTTATAACTGTGATAAGTTTGGTCATCTTGCAAGAGATTGTAATAGCAAGAAACCAGTGCAGCAGCTCAATTATGCGAATAAGGTAGAATCTACACCCACCATGTTTTATGCTAGTAATCAAACTAATACTAGTGTAAAGGACTGTGATGATGTATTGTATGTAGATAGTGGGTGTAGTAATCATATGACTGGAAGGGAGGATTTACTTGTGGATATTGATAAGAATGTAACTGCAAAAGTTGAAATGGGTACTGGACAGCTTGTTGATGTAATTGGTAAATGAAGTCTTGTAGTTGAAACTAAACTAGGCAAGAGATATATCAAGGAGGTTATGCTTGTGCCTGGACTGAAAGAAAATTTGCTCAGTGTGGGTCAAATGATGGAGCACGGTTATTATTTGGTGTTTGGAGGTCACAAGGTGGAAATCTATGATGATAGCTCATATTCCAACATGGTTGCTAAAGTTCCAATGAAGGGAAATCGAAGTTTTCCAATGAAGTTACAGACTGGAATACATATTGCTTTCAAGGCAGATGTATGTATTTCTACTACTATGTGGCATAAAAGATTGGGACACCTAAACATGAGCAGTTTGAAATTGATGCAGGAACAAGAAATGGTAGTAGGATTACCAGAAATCAAAGCAGTTAAAGGAGTATGTGAAGGTTGTGTTCTCGGTAAACAATGTAGAGAAGCATTTCCAAGGGAAGCTACTACTAGAGCATCAATTCCTCTAGAGCTTGTGCATAGTGACATTTGTGGTCCGATGCAGACAACTACAAAAGCTGGCAATAGATATTTTCTTACTTCATAGATGACTGCACCCGGATGTGTTGGGTTTATTTTTTAAGGCATAAATCTGAAGTTCTCAGTGTGTTTAAAAAGTTCAAAGCTACTGTGGAGTTGCAGAGTGGATATAATCTAAAGCAGCTTAGGAGTGATCGAGGAGGTGAATACACTTCAATGGAGTTTAACAAGTTTGTTGAAGATGTAGGCATGGAAAGACAACTTACCACTCCATACACACCACAGCAAAACGGTGTGGCAGAACGAAAGAACAGAACTATTGTGGAAATGGCTAAGTGTCTTATGTTGGAGAAGGACATCCCACTTGAATTTTGGGCAGAGGCAGTTAATACCTCAGTGTATATTCTGAATAGATGTCCAACCAAAGCTTTACATAAGAAGACACATTTTGAAGCTTACAGTGGGAGAAAACCAGGAATTAAGCATCTAAAGGTGTTTGGTTCTTTGTGTTATGCTCATGTGCCAAGTCAACAGAGACAAAAACTCGATTTGGCAAGCAAGAGGTGTATTTTCTTGGGATATGGTAGTTGTGAGAAGGGATATAGACTCTATAACATTGAATCTGGAAAGGTGACTATTTCCAGAGATGTTGTGTTTAATGAAGAAGCATGTTGGGACTGGAATGCACAGAAGGAAAGAAGGGAGAGTATCCAGATTATTGAGATGTTTGAAGGAGAACAAAACTGTGAAGGAGGTGCTTGTGATTCTGAAACACAATGTGAAGTCAGTGAAGAGAATGTTGGGCAAAGCTTGGTTACTGAGCTCTCTGATCAAGAAAGAATGACAGGTCCACAGGATTTTGATCACACATCTCAAGTACAGAAACATTGCAGAAATATATGAGAAGTGTAATCTGTGCATTATAGAACCCGAATGCTTTGAAGAAGCTGCCAAAGATGAATCATGGCAGAAGGCTATGGAAGATGAAATTTCTATGATTGAGAAGAATCATACTTGGGATCTTGTTGATAGACCATTTGATAAACCAATCATTGGAGTCAAATGGGTTTATAAAACAAAACTAAATCTGGATGGTTCAGTGCAGAAAAACAAAGCAAGGTTGGTTGCAAAAGGTTACTCTCAGAAGCCTGGAATCGATTTTAATGAAACTTTTGCACCAGTGGCAAAACTTGATACTGTGAGAACTTTGGTGGCTCTTGCTTCACAGAAAGGATGGAAATTATTTCAGTTAGATGTAAAGTCTGCATTTCTAAATGGAGTGTTGAATGAAGAGGTGTATGTGGATCAACCATCTGGTTTTGTTATACAGGGCAAGGAAGACAAAGTGTACAGGCTCAGGAAAGCTTTATATGGTTTGAAACAAGCTCCAAGAGCTTGGTATGAAGAAATAAATTCCCATTTTGCAAAGGCTGGGTTCCACAGAAGTCCGAGTGAAGCTACTCTTTATATCAAGACATCTCACAGTGGCATTCTCATTGTGTCACTATATGTAGATGATATTATCTACACAGGAAGTTCAAAGGAGATGATAGCTAAGTTCAAAGGTGAGATGATGAGACAATATGAGATGACTGATCTAGGATTACTTCATCATTTCCTTGGTCTTGGGGTACTGCAGACAGATAATTACATCTTCTTGCATCAAAAGAAATATGCAAAGACTTTGCTTGAGAAATTTGGACTTAGGGATTGCAAGCCGGTTGCAACACCATTAGCTATGAATGAAAAACTTACAAAAGTAGATGGAAGTGATCTGGCAGATGAGACTTTATATAGACAAATGGTGGGAAGTTTGCTATATTTGACAGCAACAAGGTCATATATTATGTTTGCAGCAAGCTTATTGGCTAGGTTTATGCACAATCCTACCAAGAAGCATATGGGGACAGCTAAGAGGGTTCTGAGATACATACAAGGCACTGTGAACTATGGAGTTGTTTATGAGAAGGGAAAAGGAGCAGTGTTAGTTGGTTATTGTGATAGTGATTGGAGTGGAAGTGAAGATGACATGAGGAGTACATCTGGCTATGCATTTAATCTTGGTTCTGGTGTGTTTTCTTGGGCCTTAATCAAACAAAGCAGTGTTGCTTTTTCAACCGCAGAGGCAGAATACATCAGTGCAGCAGAAGCTACTGCACATGCCATTTGGCTAAGATTTGTACTCTCTGATTTCGGGGAAGAACAAGCAGAACCAACTAAGTTGTTGTGTGATAATACTTCAGCAATTGCCATATCAAAGAATCCAGTTCATCATCACAAAACCAGGCACATTAATCGGAAATTTCATTTCATCCGATATGCACTTCAAGATGGTGAGATTGATTTGGTATACTGCAAGACTGAAGAGCAGATTGCAGATATATTCACTAAAGCTTTGGCAAGGGATCGATTGAATTACTGAGGACAGCTTTGGGAGTGATTTCAGCACATCACTTAGAAGGGAGTGTTAGTTTATAAGTGTATATGCTGAAATGTAATAAGAATTCAGCTTTAAATATCAACCCTTGGATCATAGTCCAAGTGTGCAGCTAAGATGTAATCTTAGATTAAGTAATATCAGCTCTTGCTACATGTGCTTAGTGTGTGTGCGTATGAATCAATATAGAGCAGAGTCCTTTCTTCTTCTTCAAGCTTGTCTCTCTCTCTCTCTCTAGAAATCTCACTTTCTTTTCTTCAGTATTCATAGATTGTTGATTGAAACTTACATACAAGATCATAGTCTGTATGCTAACAAAAATCCTGTGGCATAGCTAATGTCTCCAATGTGGAAGATAGAGTCTACATTCCCGGAATTTATTTCATCGGCCACGGCTTGAATCACTGAAAGAGATCCTGGCTATATATTCATGCAACAAGATTGAAATTCTCGTTAGCCTTTACTTTTCCTTCAAGGTACAAACATGTGCCAGAAATTTGAGTAATTGGCACAAACTAATGCATCATACCTGAATGTAATGCATTGCCGAATAATCACGAGGAGCCTTTCCCATGTCGCCAAATGCAAGAAATTTGAGTTCATCAGATCCTCCTGCTGGTGGGGTTCGGAATTGGATTTGATCACTCCAACCAACTGAATCGCTGGATTTTTGTTCATGAATTTGAAAAAAGATGAAAGGCTCTTTTGTTAATAACAAAAGTATATATGTATATATATGGATCATTGTCATCATACACCATATTCTCCTTCGTCAAATATTTTGGAACATTGTTTCTTCTTTTTCTTCTACCAAATATTAGTTATAAGGTTAAAACTACATCATAACGATTCATACCTTCCGTATCTATAAGAGAAACTAGATGAAGGCTTAAGTCCTCTCATTACTACCGTGTGAATGAAGCCTGGATCATGCCAGCCGAAGTCCTTGGCTGGACTTGGTAGAGCAGAACCTATCAATTATAAAGGGGGCACAAACACGAAAACAAAGAGATTAAGAAGACATTCGGAATGAAACCCCAATCGGGGCTGTCTGGAGTGAGTTATAGCTAGTGCGGCCGAAGATTAGGAGAAAAATTACACCATTGATCCTTCAACTTATACAACTTGGTATACGCAATTTGTAGGTTTCATGTATATTGATTACAGTTCTGTTAATGTCATACTGGTATGTGTACAGCGAAACACATTGATCTGTATGGAAGTAGGAGATGAGGAACTCACTTTTCATATCGTCTTGTGAAAATCAATCAGTTACATTAGTTGGGAAGTGTTATTCATGTAGGGTTTAGGGTAAGAAATGATCGAAATATACACAATGTGGAATGTGGATTATTTTCACCTTTTGCCGGTTTCGTAGATAACAATTAGAGAAATTTTATTTGAACCCATGTTATTTGCAATTAAAGAAACATTATCTCTTTAAACCCAAATTTATTACCTCAACTACCCTTCCAAACCCAATTCAAAATGTAAAATTATCTTTACACCCATTTATAAAATTAACAAAGAAAAAGAAAATCCCCTTCTAGCTAACTAGCTTGAATTTGGGTACATATGAAAATGTTCTATATATTATTGGCTTATTGAATGTTAATAATTAGAAAAACTGATCATTTTTCACTTGAACTATTCCAAAATTTTCTTGAAAGTTCCCTTCTCCACAATTCAAAGCTGAAGAGGCCAGATCAATTTGCTTCTCCTCGAGACCACATAGCCATGATCCAAAAATGTTGCATCCATTTCTCTACAACATTCAATAAGAACTCTTTCTTCAACTTATCCCTTGATCTCCCAGTATATTATGTAGTGGCCTGGTTTTGGGACGTCAAATCTGCATGGCTCGTGAAATCGATCTGCTCGGCTTTCGACTTGCTCAATAGTTCAGATCCTTTATGGACCACCATTTGAAGGTTCTTTTCAATGTTTTTGTCTATGTTTACTGTCAGTATTGATAGCATTTTGTAAAAATTGTGTTTTGGTATGGTAGGGTTTGATTATTAGGGGTGAGTTTATTGATAAATTTTAGTTTTAATGTTAATTTCATCTTGTACTTGATGGTAATTATGCAATAGGGTAAAAAAAGATAATTTTCATTTACAATTTAAGTTGGGTGTAGAGAGAGGTATGTGGGTTCAAATAATTTTTTTCATTTTTTATTTGTTTGGGTGAATTGCCAATTTAGTCTTTGAATTATCACTTCAGTGAAAATTAGGTCGCTAAACTATTTTTTTTCAGAAAAATTAGTCCTTGAATTATAAAAATCTGCCAATTACATCTCTAATATTATATTCAAAGCTATTATATTCAATTTTATGTCAATTTAAGTCACGTTACTTGCATATGATACACATTAGAGGGTAGATTGGTAGTTTTCCATAAAGAAATAGTGTATGGAGTTAACTTTGGAAGGTAAATTGGTAGTTTTTCATAAGAAATAGTATAAGTTAACTTTGGAGGGTAAATTAGATGTTAGATTCACAACCTATATGAAATGTGAAGGGCTCATAGGCAAGAAAATGACGGTATTACACTCTAAAGTGTATCAAGTGACTTAAGTTGAAAAAAAATTGGACAAAATAGATTTGAATATAATAGTAGGGATGAAATTAGCAAATTTTAATGAATTTAAGGACTTAATTTACTGAAAAAATAATTTAAAAACCTAATTTTTATTAAGGTAATAATTCAAAGACTAAATCGTCACTTCACCCTATTTGTTTTGCTTTGGAAGTTCCAATAGCAGCCACGCTTGCCAAATTTCCTCTTTATCTCTCTCCCTGAGGCTGAGCCACTGCGAGCGAAGAGTGAGTGAGAGCCATGGAGATGGCAACCTGCAGCTTCCACAGCTCCTCCTTCTCCATCCCAAACCCTAGAAGCACCAGCCTTTCCTCTCCTCTTCCAGTCGCCAAGCAACTCTTCGGCTTCACCTTACCTTCTTCCTCAACCGCCAAAACCACCACACTCAAACTCCGCTAACGCTTCTCCGCTCACCCGCCAAATCAAATGCTCCGTCTCTGAAGCCACCGAAGCCGCCGCCATTGAAACGGGTACATTCTCTTCGTCATCTTCTCTTGCAATCTTTCATTTCCATGCCTCTGTTCGTTATTTTCCTATTTTCTGCACCAATTCGTTACGTAATTTCGTATGTAGAGCACATTGGTCTCAGAATTTGTCTTCGAAATAGTCTTGTAGCGATGGAGGTTGTTTTCGTGCTTGATTTGTAGATTGTGTGTGTGTGTGTTGGTTGGGAATGGTGGGTAAGGTTAATCTGATTGGGAACTTGGTTCTTGTCTTAGAGAGGAGGAGTAAGTTGATGAGGAGAACTGACATAAGGAACATAGCAATCGTAGCGCATGTCAACCATGGAAAAACAACTTTGGTTGATGCGATGTTGAGGCAATCAAAGGTAGAGTATAAACCTCATGAAAATTCTTCATGTCTATATTTTTTAGGTTTTTGTATTTCTAAATTTCTTAATGACATTGTTAGGGGCTTTTGCGCAGGTCTTTCGTGATAAACAATTTGTACAGGAAAGGATAATGGACTTGAATGATCTAGAGCGTGAAGGGGGGATTACTATACTAAGCAAAAATACCTCTATTGCTTATAAAGACTCAAAGATTAATATAATTGATACTCCTGGACATTCTGACTTTGGAGGCGAAGTCGAACGCATCCTCAATATGGTGGAAGGGATTCTTCTAGTGGTACCCTTTTGCACTTTCTGTTGCTTTGGCTTGTAATCCATATGTCTGGTGCTTTTGAAATCAGCAGTTTGCTTGCTTTGTGTTTTTAGGTAGATTCTGTTGAGGGCCCGATGCCACAGACAAGATTTGTTTTGAAGAAGGCTCTAGAATTTGGCCATGCAGTTGTTGTCGTTGTTAATAAGATTGACAGGCCTTCAGCTTGTCCAGATTTTGTCATCAATTCCACTTTTGAACTATTCATTGAACTAAATGCGACTGATGAACAGGTAACAAAGTAATTGTCCTTTGGATCATAATTTGTTTCTCAAACTGGGTGCATTATTTTGACTCCTATGCCTTTGAAACAATGTATTTGGGGCGTTGGAATGGTATCTTGGAATACTAGGAACTAGTTTGTGGTTATTGTTGAATATAATAGCCACAACTTTCCTTTTAAAACACGTTTTGAATGATTGAATCTTGATCAGATTGGGAAAGCTAAAAAGTCTAATCTCATCGTTTTGCTTGCAGTGTGATTTCCAAGCAATATATGCTAATGGGATTAAAGGAAAAGCTGGGTTGTCAGCTGATAATTTGGCAGATGATCTTGGACCGCTTTTTGAGGCCCAAATGAGATGCATACCTGGACCTGCTATTGACAAAGATGGTGCACTTCAAATGCTTGTCAGTACTTTTTGATAATATCATCGTTCTTTCTCCTTTTATTTCATAAATATTTACTACGTGACGGTAAACTCTGGATCAAGAAACTATTTTTGTATCAAGAAAGGCTAGTCAATATAATTAGGTTACAAGGCTTTTGATGTAAAGACCTATATGGGATACCCTTCTTTTTAAGTATCAGAGAAGAGTCAAAGGAGGCTTAGACTCTTTAACATCTTGACTGATTGAAATTGATAAGTGGAAGATGAAGAACAAGAAATTTATATTAATTGTTCTTACGTCCATAACACCTGTTGATATTTGTAAATCATCCAAGGCAATGTGAGCTGCTGCTTGCATAACTCTGGAAGAGTGAGTTTCCTTAATTACTTGTCAAGTTTCTGATGTGCTTTCAGACCAAGAAGACCTTTTACTACATTTCAGGAAAATGAAGAAAGTTGATGGCTATATTTGACTGTTATGTATTACAAAATTTCTGGTCCATATTAAAATGATTGGGTAGTATGTCTAGGGAAGGCAAAATGAACTGCACTACTAAAAGTTTTTATTTGTCATCATAATACCATAATACTTGTATAGCTTTAACTTGCTACTATGAAACTTAGCTGCATGTGCTTTTACTCTGTTTATTTCTCGAGTTTTCTTAATATTCAACTTAGGCATCTATAGCTTATTCTGTATTTAATTTTAATCAAAACAATGCAGGTTACAAATATCGAGTATGATGAACATAAAGGACGAATAGTTATTGGACGTTTGCATGCTGGGGTTCTGAGGAAAGGGGTGGATGTGAAGGTGAGTTTGAGCCAAATCTGAAACATGGTCAACATTACATTCTAGCGTTTTCTTTTCATTTCTTTTCTTCACCAAATTAAGTAGCTTGGGATATTGTTTTCATGATATCTGATTATTGCTGTTAATATTTAACCCTTATTAGTAATATTTTTATACGTTTATTCTGATTTTTTAAGATTGTATCCTTGTCTTCATGATTAAAGTTCATTTTCAAAAATAAAAGGAATGCATAAAGTTCATGTTCATCTTAATGCATTTTCTTCAATACAGGAAAAGAAACAAGTTTTCTAAGTTTCTGCTTATGATGTGATTTTATAGGTATGCACCTCAGAAGATGCATGTCGAGTTGCAAGAGTTAGTGAGCTTTTTGTGTATGAGAAGTTTAGTAGGGTTCCCGCAGAAAGTGTGGAGGCCGGTGATATATGTGCTGTTTGTGGAATCAATGATATTCAGGTTATAACTTTGTTGATGCTATCACAATTTTATAAATTTGAGAGTTATTTCATGGTTTATTTAATATTTTTTAATTTACTCAGATTGGTGAGACAATTGCTTGTAAGATCTCTGGGACGCCATTACCCGACATTAGGGTTGAGGAACCAACAGTGAAAATGGCTTTTTCCATAAACACTTCACCGTTTGTTGGACGTGAGGTATGCCTATAAAATAGTTTCTGCTAATGTTTACTGTCTCATACTATGATAACTTTCCCCAATTCCTTAAGATTTCCTTTGGTCAAGCCAGAATATTGAACAATCTGCGTTTTGTAAAGTACAGAGTCACCTTATCAATAGGGATCTCTTTTGATGATGGGATCACATGTGGGCCCAATCCTCAATGCGGTCATTGATCCAAGCTCTTCATTTTTTAGTCTCGTATTCGTGGATCATCTTTGTAAAAAACCAACAATTCTGAAATCAGTCATCTAATTTTGATCAAATATATAGACAAACAGAGTCTTTTCATTAAGAACTAAAATATAGATGATGATATCAAATGGGCAAACAATTTCCAACTTTTTGAATTTTTTTTTCCAGAGATGATTCTTAGATGGGAGTCTAAAACTTAGACAG